GTGGTCTCTGCAATCTACCTGGCTGCTTCTTGCTCCTCGTGGCCCGACTGAGGGCTGCTGGGAGCAGGGGGGGGGCTTGTTGCATGTGCCTGCCCCCTGGGCTCCTTACTGCCGGAACTCCGCTCCTGTGCGCTCCCACAGGAAATGACCCCTAATTGTACTAAAGCAGACACTGCTAGCACTTTAGGTTATTGAACTGTTTTATAATCAGAGGTCATTTCGGGGGGGAACGCGGGGGAACGCAGTTCCCCCGGGTGAGGTGCAGAGGGGTGGGGCACACGACGAAGCCCCGCCCCCTGCTTCCAGCCGCCCCGCTTCCAGCCCTCATTCAGCCAGGAGGAGGCAGGAGAAGAGCGAGGGTAAGTTGCTTCCTCCCCGCCTCTCCCCACCCCTGCCTGCCTGGGGCCAGGGAGGGCCTTGGCGGGGCTTCCTCGCACTCCCGCCGGCCTTGCAGGGCCACCGCCGGGCCCCTGATGTCAGGGGGTGTGGCATATGCTAATGAGTTATGCTAATGAGTTCCCCTAGCTCTTTTTCTACGAAATGACCCCTGTTTATAATGAACTGTTTTGAGGTGGCTCCGGCTCTGTGGCTCCCTGAAAATCTTCAGGAGGTGCTTGAAGGTCCTGTTTGCCAGGACTTTTGAGGGGGTTTGAACAGCATCTTTTGAGAATGGGGGGGGGGGAGATTTGGGATTTGCTATTTTATTTCTTGGTCTTAAACTGAGAATGTTTCCAACTATTATTGCAGGCCGCCTTGGACCAAAGGACAGGTGGCATATAAGTGTTTTCATAAATACATAATAAATAAAGGTATGTAGCAAGACTCCATGGCACGGTGCTCTTACACTCTTCCAGTCCCAGCAAGATGAGGGAAGCGATGCCCGTCAGTGTGGTGGTGAGCAGCAGGATCCCACGACGGCCGTACCGGTCGACACTCAGGCACAGGAAGAGGCAGGCCAGCCCCGCACTGCCGGTCGACAGCAGGTACGAGAGGTAGAACTCGGCGCGCGGACCCTGCGAGGAGCCCCAGGCCATTTGGTAACAGTGGCGGATGGCGTGGGCTATAAATCTGCGGGGACACCACATTACATCAGGGGTCCTGCGGCCTATGTTTCCCAGTAGGCCACATTCCCCCAACGACACAAGATCTTCTGTGTTTGGGACTAATTCATGAGCCAGGATTCTCAACGTGTGAAGCAGCCCTCTGGACACATGAGCAAACCGACATGCCCAGAGAAGCGAATGCAAGGGAGCAATTTATATGGAAGAGAGGGTTATTGTATACATGAAATGGCCTTATACTGAATCAGACCCTTGGTCCATCAGAGCCCGCTTGGTGTAGTGGGGAAATGCACGGACTCCAATCTGGGAGGACCGGGTTTGATTCCCCACTCCTCCACTTGCAGCTGCTGGATGACCTTGGGCAAGCCATGGTTCTATCAGAGCTGTTCTCTCAAGGACAGTTCTGGAAAGAGCTCTCTCGGCCCCACCCATTTCACAGGGTGTGGGGAGGGGAGGGAAAAGGAGTTTGTAAGCCACTCTGAGTGAAGGGCGGGGTATAAATCCAATCTCTTCTTCTTCTACTTAGACTGGCAGTGGCTCTCCAGGGTCTCAGGTGGAGGTCTTTCATATCCCCTACTGCCAGATCTTTTAACTGGAGATGCTGGGGATTGAACCTGGGACCGTCTGCATTTCAAGCAGATGCTCTAACCACTGAACCACAGCCCCTCCCTTCATATGAAGGACTGCTCAGTTTCAAGAGGAGACAAACCCTCTTTCTTCGCCCTTCATTGCCCTCTCAAGTTTTTCAGCTAAAAAATGCTGTTGACAGGGTGCCAGGATGATTTCGTTGCATTTATTTATTTGTATCATGCTTTTCTCCACAGTTGGGACTCAATGCAGCTTAGAACATTGTCCCTCTCCCTCCATTTCTTCACAACCACAACGCTGTGAGGTAGGCCAGGCTAAAACTATGTGATGGGCCCAAGGTCATCCAGTGAGCTCCCTGTGGTAGAAGTAGAAATTCAAACGTGGGTCATGCAGCGTCCGAGTCCATCACTCTATCCACTATAATTTTTTTAAAAAACCAACATTTACCAACTGCCTTGAATTTAGGAAGGGGGGGGAGGAGGAAAGAGAAACGGCTTTTAATAAAACAAATAAAATACACGAAGAGGCTTCAAGGGCAGCGTGGACAGCTTTCCCCTCTCCCCGATGTACTTGCGTTCCGAGAGGGCGAGAGATTTAAGTAGGAGTGGACTTACGTGGTGAAACCAAGAATGAGAATATTTTTCCAGATGTTTCGGCAGCCCAGCAGGGCACGGAGCGAAATCTGGGCCACGGCAGGGAGGTGGCAGACATTGTCAAGCTCTGGAGAGGCAGATGGGAAGATTGGCAGTGAAGGAACAGGAGGAAATTGAGGGAGCAGAAGAGAAAGGGAGTTGCCGTCAGTGAGGGGCAGCTGCAACTGCCCAATTCTTGACACGGAATAAGTGAAAAATAAAAAAGAAATGGCAGCCACGTTAGGTTTACTTTTCAACCAGAGGTTGTTTGGCTCTGTAAAGGTTCCCGGTCGAACACTGTAGACCAAATGCCCCCAAGCTTTTTGAGCCTGCATTCACCGTTGGCCTTCTGACACAGGGCGATGGGCACAGCTACAAAATGGCCGCCACGGGAGGCAGAACGCACCACAAAGTATCAGGAAGAGAGGTAACGCAGAACTCTAAGGCTAACCTTCTGACATTTCAGGCAGAACCTGTTGAACAGGATGTCTTTTAAAACGAACGTATTCTTTTCTTGCCTACACACAGTTTGCCTTCAGCCGACGCAGTGAAGATCCTCGTGCTGTGGCGGCAGCTGCTGCCAAAAGCGGCTTTTGGAAAACCCGCACCGCCAATCGGATCCCCAACAGCCAATCAGAAGCCCTGCTGGGTAAAAGCCCCACCCACTTTCTAAAAACCCTTGGTGGGCATCAGGAAAAGTGTCAGCGGGCGCCCACAGGCACCACGTTGGGGACCCTTGATGCAGACAAAAGACACCCTCAGCATGATGGGAGACTCACCATCCAGTGCCTCCTGCGTCTCAGATTCCTGGGTGTTGCTGTCCTGGGCAAGGGTGACCAAAATCTCCCGGGCTTGAGTCATTCGGCGAGTGGCCAAGAGCCAGCGGGGTGATTCGGGAAACACTCCAGGGCAGCTAAAACGGAATGGCGAAAGAACCAAGATTATTGGATGGTGCCCCATGTACTCCACGACGAATAAACAGAACCTCCATGTTTGGAGGTAGTTTAACTTTTAATACCACTGGGGGGAGGGGGACAAGAAGCTTGGTCTCTGCATCTGGTTAGCCCCTGTGGGAAACAGGATACTGGACGAGTCAGGTAGTCGGTGCAATCCTGGAGGACTGCTGTTGCGTTCTGAGAAAATTCTTGTGGTCCCTCAGTTTTACACAACACTGATACGCTCAGGAACTCTGAGGAGTGAAGGCAAAACTAATCTACTTTCAGTGATCCTGACTGATCTCTTTATTTTTTTAAATTATTGTTAACTATTAGAAGTCAGTTTTTAAAAACTATTTATTGTAAGTCGCCTAAGAACATAAGAGAGTGCTGGATCAGGCCAATGGCCCATCCAATCCAACACACTGTCACGCGGTGGCCAAAAATACCAGGTGCCATCAGGAGGTCCAGCAGTGGGGCCAGGACACTAGAAGCCCTCACATTATTGCCTCCCCCAAGCACCAAGAATACAGAGCATCCCTTGCCCCGCCTAGAATCATGAGGAAAGGCAGGGTGTAAATGTTTGAATGAATACATACATTTAACATATTTAGATGTTCCATGATTCTGGAACAATCTCCTCAGGACAGTGCGCCGGGCCCCCCTCACTTTCAGTGTTCAGGAG